CTGATTTGATGTAGTGGTTTTTAAAGGATGCAGTGCCATGTAGTAGTCGCTGCCCTTGTTTTTTACGTTGCGTGGGCTAGCCGTTGGGCTCTGGTAAAAGAAGCCCACACATTAGACCTTTGGACCGAACGTTGCCACCTCTAGCCAGGCCCTAGCCAGTAGGCTACATTGCCATGCATGCATGGCGGGCTGGCGGCACATGCAGAGAAAACGGGGCAGGCATGTCCCCTTGACCCACGACGGCACAGACGCGTGCGGGATGTCGCAGCATGGCAATTGATGCACGAGATAGAAGAATGGGCAGGCGTGACCCCTTGACCCGCAACCAATGGCACAAACGCGTCGCATCCTGGCTATTGATCCAGCATTTGATGGCAGCCTTGGTTTCCCGCGCTTGTGTACACACCTCGATGGGGCGCCACCAAACGCCGCCCGCTCATTAATTCCACCTGGTGAAAAACACGTAGCACTTGGGCTATTTAAGCCACACCTATCGTCTTCCTCTCCCTCCTCATCCATACCCCCTACCCCATCCTCTCCCATCTGCCCTCCTTCTTCCTTCTTCTCCATAAACCAAACCCGATCAAGCCACCATGCAGTTCACCGGGCTACCTACCGTGTGCCGCCCACCTTCCCCGAGAGGCTCTACCCTGTCGGAGTCCGGGTGGAGAACACCCTACGGGTGTGGGCGATCTCGAGGTGGAGGGGGCAAGAGGGCTGACCGAGTTCTTCCTCTCCATCGGCTACCGCCACCTCCCGAGGGGCTCTCCGGTCATGTTTCAAGTCGAAGAGGTCAGTAACAATGGCTATGCTATCGGGCTCATCGTTAGGTTCACCAACCCCTTCGACGCCTACTACCTCCTCGGCCGTGTTTTCTGGTGTGGATGCGAGTTCATTGCATTCACTATGTACAACATCTTCACCGACTTCGACAGCGCCTTCCCCGCCGATGAGCGCATGCACACGCTCCCGTACCCCACCGACGACGACGAGTGAAGGAGTTGGCCATGGAGGAGTTGTCCTTGGAGCCCTACAGCAAGCAAGCAAGCCGGGGGTGTTTTATCTTATCTAGGGTGTCGTTTTATTATTGTCGTGTTGGGTTGAACTATGAACTATCTATATAAGTTGTAATGGTACTATGTATGTCGTTCTTGGGACCCGTTTATCTATCTTTAATGTGGTACTATCTAGCTCATGCAATGCTACAACTTATGCTACTATATTGTGATGTGTTCTATCTATTTTTCTTTCTATCTAGTTGATATATATCGTGGTGTGCTGCACGTGTGCATGCATGTATCTAGGCCCTAGCTAATAGGGTCACCCTAGCTAGTAGGTGTAGGGTGTAAATTTTGTGCAACCATGGACATGCAACTGAAATGCCCAAAAGAAATATTGATGTGCTCCTAAAAATATTGGTTTGAATTTTACCTCTGGCCATTATTTTTAGAGCAAAACATGAACATTTTCTTGGACCTATTTCAAGTGAATTTTAACTTGATCATTTCCAAAAATGTTTTCTGAGGCTTTCACATATCCCCATCAAATTTGGGTTTCATGGAGCCATAGACATGCATAAAAAGAATCACAAAACAATAGTGGACAAGCAACAAATATGTAAAGAAAAACAAAAAAGTACAATACATACGGCCCAATATTTATTCGACACAAAAATTTGGCTAAAGAAAAAACAAGTAAAGAAGTATATGTTTGTTAAAGGTTTATTTGCCGAAGCAACATTTTATTTTTGAGGTTTTAGTCGAAGCATTTTTTAAACATGGGCGCCTCTATGCTATAAAACTGGGCTGGTGCTCCTATGCGGGTGGGCTTGTCTCAATTTGGGCCTGGTTATTTTCTCACAGCTCAACATCTATTTGGCAGCAAGATTTGTTTTTCTGAATTTGGGGGGTGTGCACTCTATTCACTGAAGAACAAGAACAGAGCATGAACACTGGATATCTCTGCTTTGATTCAGTTACAAGAACTTGGCATGACGCACATATCGCATCCTATTACCAGAATATCATTGGGTCTGAATATCATTACCAGAATTCAGGCTTTGCTTCACATAAATTCAAATTCAGCTAACAAATGATCCCTAACTTACTAAAACTACTAGCTAGACACAATAACTGAAACTAAGGACCCCTTACTCTGAAACTAGCTTGACAAACATACTGAAACTGTAACAATTTCTAGTGATTGATGAACATCAAGTAAAAGAAACTCATAGCAATGACACAACAATAAAATGCTCCAGCCATCATATTTGCTTGCTGCTTCAAATCGATCAGCTGCTTTAGTTGCTTGCCCGTTTTCTTCAATTCACACTTCACTTCAGCACTGTCCATCATCGCATCGGCTCTGTCCATCAAATGTGAGGCGTGTTCGACACCAAGCTGCCCCCCAAAATTGAAATTGAGCTCTTGTGTTGAAGCCTCCAATTTCAACCTCTCAACGTACTCATCGAGCCACTCGAAATGTCCACAATACTTCAGAACCTGAAAAACAAGGTAAACTGGGGTCGACAGCAGTATGAACCCTAGATCAGATCCACCGCCCAAATTCGAAGGAAAAATAAAAAAATCGATCCAGCTGCTTGGTGCGGTACACGGATCTAACCTGCCCTGGTTGTGGCTTGCTCAAGAATTTGACGAACTCGCGCCCACGGTTGCCATTTTCCTTCTTCACACAAGTCAAACGCTTCAGAGGCTCCATGCGCGGGCAATCGGGGCATCTTGTCAACAACACTGGACCGTAGTGCGGCCATGATTGGCAGGAGGCCGAAGTTGAGCTAGACATCACTCACCGGTGGCGCACTCGCCGGCGGCGCGCTTCGTTGCCAGAGAAGAGGAAGAACAATGTGGGGGGAAAGGGGATAGGGGAAGGCAGGCAATGGGGGGTGGGGTGGCTCAGGCTCATGGATGGCTCAGGTCTGGGCATTCTTATGTGGATAAGTTGTGGGTCATGCACGCATGTGAGTAAGTGGTGGGTCCCACATTCATGTGGATAACTGATGGGTCCCGCGTGTCATAACTCAAACCACTAACCCCTTATGTTTTGCATTTCATGGTTAAACAGGGCCATGTCGCATTGGAGCTATTATTGGCTGCAAAAGGTCGCACCAGAGATATTTTCGTCAACTACGTCGCTCCTCATCCAATTCATCTCAAAGACGTCGCACAGGGGCTGGCCTGTAAGCCCGGTTTTTTTCAACCGGTTTGGATGGAGATCACTGCATAGGATAGGTCCTTAGTGTATCCTCGTCCAGCCATATGCGGCTTTGAAATTTGTACTCTTTATATTTTGCTTTGCTCCTTTTGTGAGCAGTACTTTGCAGATCAGACTTTGTTACTGTCGGCTTTTTAATAAAGTGGTCGCATGCATCTTTCTGATGCAGAGGCCGGGGGATGACCTCCTTTGTCAAAAAATAGTCTCATGAAAGGGGCAGATCGTGAGGCGATGGAGCGGGGTACGAAGATGCTGAGAGATAGTGGCAACAACATGGTGATGATTTGCGTTGCGGCCACGGACGACTCGGCAGCGAGTTGATCTATGAGCTACAGCATCGCCATCTTCAGTATTACTGCAGGGTTACTTTAGTTTTCTGCCCGTTGTTGCCTTCCTTTTGGTTTAAACTGTTTGTGTCCTCAGCTCCTGCGGGAGCGTTGGGAGTGCTCGTGTGTGGAGCCTGTTCCCTGAACTTTCTGCGTGGTTCTTTTGTGAGACTTGGGTGTCGTCGGGTTTTCGCTCCATAGCAGGTGTTAATTTGGTAGGCGAGTTCCTACTGTGGGTTTTCTGGCAATGCACTGAACTCAGTTTCCCCCTACCATCCCCTTCTGACTTTGGTTCGATGTGTATTTCGGTTATTCAGTTATAATGGAAAGGGGTTATGCCCGGTTGAAAAAAAAAATCGTCGAACACTTGAAGGATGGCGGAGGTTTCATGGCTGACCGGCGACGTTGAGCCGATGTCAAAGCTGCTAGCAGTCGGTAGGGCTTCGAGATGGCCGGCTGTCAATGGAGAGGCCTGGAGGAAGAAGATTCGGCTACGGTATATAGATGCGGCCAAAGGAGATCGGTTAAATATATGCTCTAAGGACCAAGCTAGCTAGCTAGCGTTTGCTTAGCTTTAGCGTCCATAACAATTTCTTCTAGGACTCATAGCTACCACGACAAATAACCAAGACAATTCCTAAAACTTACCAGGCTGTACATTAAGGAGTATGTATGGATTTGGAGTCTACCTCTTGTGACTATATATAGATCTTATCTTTTGACGGCGTTCATCCTTCAGCCATGACTATTGCGTGTACAAACCTGACCAATGTTGTGCGCTGGGTGCATCTGCTCAGGATCGATGGCTACAACATCACCAAAGCCATGAGCAGCGACTGCTGGATCAAGTCAAGGTGGAACGTGGGCGGGTACGAGTGGGGAGTCCACGTCCATCCTGAACTGCCGAACGACACCATCGACTATCGACCATGGCTCGCGCTGAGGCTCGCCTTCCTCAGCGAAGGCTGCACTACACCCAACGTGCAAGCGAGCCTTCGCTGCCGTTTGGTGGATCCGAGGGGCACAGCTCAAGATGGCAACAGGGATGAAACCCATCGGATTTTGCCTTTCCAAACTCATCCCCACGAGAAAATCGTAAACCCGTCCTCGTCCCCATCACCGTGTGCGGGGCTAGTTTTCTTCTCGTCCCCTAAACCAATCGGGTTTTGGGGAACCCACGGAAAGCCCACGCTAAAATCAAAATACTTAAACAAACATAGTGGCGACAAAGAATAACACATCAGCAGCAAAACAAGCATATTTCAACAGAATAACTTGAGTAAATTTCAACAAAAAAACAATAGTAGATGGTTTAACAACTATATAAGTTTCAAAATAGAACTTATAGTTCACAAATAACTTTAAACTTGGAATCATCATGGCATCTTTCACATCTCCAAGCCTCCAAACGACCATCTTCAAATCTTCCAATGCCAAATCAAAATGCCAAGTCCTAGGGAAGATCAAAATTTGCTCAAGCTAAAGTCAAACATGAGAAAAATATGTAGATTAGTATATGAAATTTGCAAGTACCTGTACTTCACCTGCATTCCCTCTTGAATGTCTTGAAGACAACTCCGAAAGCTTTGTTCTTATTCATTGTCAGCATCTATGAGAATCAAATAAGTAGTAATGAACATCTTATGAAACATTGCAGCAAGATAATGATAGACTTTATGATGATATGTAAAGAAAGACACACTTTTATATTTGTTTCTTATCCAATATTGTGAACACATCAAGGCCTCTAAGATTTCGGGGGTAAGATGACTACAGTGGTAAAAAAATAATGTAATTTCATGGGTATTGCCGGGTTTCGGGTTCGGGAACTACCGAAACGGGTGTAAACCCACGAAACATGTCAGGTTGTATAATGTGCCTAGCAACAGCTCCGCGGGGCTGAAAAGATGTCCATCCCCGTCCCCTAATAGGGTAAAAACCCACGGGGACGCGGGTTTCGGGGCCCCATTGCCATCTTGAGGCACAGCCGATCCTTCCGAAGAAAAGAGTATCACGTGCAGGTTCAACAATCGTCCGAAGCGCCAGCTTGGTGTCTCAGGAGATTGCTCGGATCCAGTTTATCTCATGTCGGCACGGGAACTAGAGACGTCATGCTATCTCAAGGACGACTCTTTCACCGTTCAATGCACGGTCACGGTGCTCAAGGACCTGGCCGAAGTGACAATCCGAGATGACTAACCATTGCCCGTCGTGCCGTCCTCGGGCTTGCACCAGCTCCTCGGCGAGCTGCTCCAGAGCGGCACAGCGGCGGACGTTGAGTTTATCGTGTCCGGTGAGTCCTTGATTGCTCACAAGAACATATTGGCGGCGAGGTCCCCTGTGCTCATGGCCGAGTTCTTTGCGCAAATGAGGGAGGCGAGCTCTCGGGTCGTCGTGATCGAGGGCATGGAGGCGGCGGCGTTCAAGGCCATGCTGCACTTCATCTACACCGACATGGTGCCGGCTGAACTTGACGGGCAGGGCGAGGCGGCGACGTGGATGGTTCAGCATCTACTTGTGGCTGCTGACAGGTATGGACTGGACAGGCTCAAGCTAATTTGCGTGAACAAGCTATTCAGTTGCATCACCGCCGACACAGCAGTGCCAATTTTGGTTTTGGCCGATCAACACAACTGTTCCCAACTCAAGGCCAAGTGCGCAGAATTCTTGTTCAACACACTCCCGTGATGCTAGAAGGTGTACAATGAAGCACCATTAATAAGTCAAGCTACCACATGGGGCTAAATCTAGAAGTAACTTATATCCATCTTTTCACTGTCGAATTCTGTCCATCTTCTATTCTTTTTCACAGGATTTTCAACGTGTTTTAAGAGCAATTGGTTGCCTGCGTTTTCCCATTCGGTTTGATGTACCTTGGAAGTGTATTTTTGAGAATAAGTATCTTGGAATTGTGGAACCTTGGTTGGGATCAGGACCCAGAGGTCATCGATTTATGCAAGCAGGTTGATGCTTGAGTAATATAAGTTTATCTGCAAAAAAAAGGAATTGTGGAACCTTGTGATATTTAAGCATGCTATGTATATGTAGTCTGTACGACTTTGATTGATTGTTATTGTGGCTCATAGCTTTTGGCCATTTTTCTTTTTTGAAAAATCACCGGTAGGGAGAGCGTCCCCAGCTGAATATATTACTGAAAGCGCCAGAGGCGAGGTTACAAGAGAGCGCTAGCGCGCAGGGAAAGATATTGGTGCCAAGACACGGCAGCCACCTTTTTATGAGCTAATCTAAAGGTCCAGAGGGAGAAATCATTTACAAGGTTCAGAAGCATAGTCCTAGGCGTGTGATTTTTATTGCGAAAAACGCAAACGTTACTAGAGTCCCAAATTTTCCACAAAATAGCGAGCGCAACCAACGGCCAAATGCCTTAGTCGAGCCCAGTCGGCGAACCTATATCTCAAATTCAGCAAGCGGGAGTGGTGCGGCGAGCTGTAGGGCATCCCATACCTGAACTGCAAATGGTCAATGGACGAACAAGTGAGTAAAATCCTCCACTGGTGCATCACATCGAGGGCAAATTGTCTTCTTGAGGAGATTGTTCTTGGTGTTGAGATGATCCTTGAAGAGGAGACAATCAAAAATCTTGACCCTGATGGGAACCTTGAATGACCAAATAAGCTCGGCGAAGGGGTCGATGTCGTTTTCCTCAGTGATGATGGTTTAGGCTTGTCTGGAGGAGAAAGGTGTGCCGTGTAGAAGGAACCTATCATCAGAAGCATCATTTGGGGCAAAGTCATGCTTACAACACAACCACCAGCTCGTTTGAAGCAACATTAGTAAGGCGATTCCGCAGGTTATCTAGTAATCCATCCCACATGACCAGAGACACTAAAATGGTTGGTTTTATGGTGTGTGAGCAGATGTGTGGGTAAACAATGGTTAGAGGTTTATGAGTGACCAAGTATCAGACCCAAAAAAGTAGTATATAAGGCCATTGTTTGTCAGCGCAAAGGATATATTTTGAAGTGTAGATAGCTGCGAGTTTATCACTTTCCAAAGAAACGAGGGGTTTGAAGGTTTATCTGCGATGGAGTGGGAGTATCTATTATGGTACCAATTTACCCAAGGTAGGTTGTTACCCTGAAGTAGTTTGAAAGAAAACTTCATTAGTAAGCAGTTATTCTAGAGAAGCAAATTTTTATGCCTAGACCACCAAATTATTTAGGTTTGAAAACATTTTTCCAAGCAATAAAACATTGTGCTTCCGAACGTTCCTTCGCGGCCCAA